AGTTCTGTCTCAGGGGTAATTTTTCCACGAGTAGTTGTAAATTGGCTGTGTCCACGGGAGGAGGTGAGTTCAGAGTCTGCCTACGCCGCCATCTTGACTCCGCCTCTCTTTAATTACTTTCAAAGTCTCAGATAAACATTTCAGTTTTAAATCAGAGAAATCCTGCATTTCTACAGGTCAATATTAAATTCTCCCACCATCCCCCAATCTCTAGGAGAACTCTTGCATTGGGCATTTTTTATGTTTAAGACATGCCCATGCACAAACTTTTTATGCAGATGTTGCACTTGAACCATTGCATCTTCTATTTATTTAAACCTTTCATGTATGTTTTTATATATGAAATATATTGGATCAGATTTTTCAAGGCCAAATGTTTTCCATTTTACTGAATCTCTGTCATGGTCGCTTTTATCTGTGTGTTTATGTGTGTGTGTGTGTGTGTGTGTGTGTGTGTGTGTGTGTTTAAGTCATAAGCTCATATTTGGTTGAACTTAAGCTCTATGAGTTCTGAGTGCATAAGCTGAAATTGCTTTCCTCCTGAAGGGGTTTGCACTTGCTTTTGTAGTTAGCCATGGGGCATTACCAACCCAGGACCATTTTAACCTCCTTCAAGAATTCCAACTTGGTAAGGGATTAATATCCAGAATATATAGAGAACTCCTAAAACTCAACAACCAAAAAAACAAAACCCTAATCAAAAGTGGGCGTAAGACTTGAATAGACATTTCTCCAAAGAAAATATACAAATGGACCATAAGCACATGAAAAGATGCTAACATCACAGATCATTAGGGCAATGCAAATGAAAACTGCAATAAGATACCACCTTACACCCATTAAGATGGCTACTATCAAAAAACCAGAAAATAGGGGCTGGCCTGGTGGCGTAGTGGTTAGGTTCGCGCACTGTGCTTCAGGGGCCCGGGTTTCACAGGTTTGGATCCTGGGTGCAGACTGATGCACTGCTTGTCAAGCCATGCTGTGGCGGCATCCCATATAAAGTAGAGGAAGATGGGCACAGATGTTAGCCCAGGGCCAATCTTCCTCTGCAAAAAGAGGAGGATTGGCAACAGATGTTAGCTTAGGGCTAATCTTCCTCTCACACACACAAAAACCCCAGAAAATAACAAATGTTGGCAAGGATGTGGAATAATTGGAACCTATGTGTGCTGTTGGTGGCATTGTAAAATGGTACAGCCACTAAGTGAAATAAGCCAGTCACAAAAAGACATATACTGTATGATTCCACTTACATGAGATGCTTAGAGTAGTCAAAATCATAAAGATAAGAGATAGAATGGTGGTTGCCAGGGTCTGGGGGGATGAGAGAATGGGTAGTTATTGTTTAATGGGTACGGAGTTTCCGTTTAGGATGATGAAAAGAGTTATGGAGATGGATGGTGGTGATGGTTGCACAACAATATGAATATATTTAATACCACTGAACTGTACACTTAAAAATGGTTGAGAGTAAATTTTATGTTGTATGTATGTTACCACATTAAAAAAAAGTTGAAAAAAAATCATACAGCTGCTATGTAAAACAGTATGGAGGTTCCTCAAAAAATTAAAAATAGAATTACCATATGATCCAGCAATTCCACTTCTGGGTATATACCCCAAAGAATTGAAAGCAGGGTCTCAAAGAGATATTTGTACATCCATGTTCCTAGCAGTATTATTCACAATAGCTAAAATGTGGAAGCAACCCAAGTGACCATCAATAGATGAATGGATAAGCAAAATGTGGTATAAATGTGCAATGGAATATTATTCAGCCTTAAAAAGGAAGGAAATTCTGACACATGCTACAGCATGGATGAATCCTGAGGACATAATATTAAGTGAAATAAGCCATTCACAAAAACTCCCCAAAATACTGTATGATTCCACTTATATGAGGTACTTAGAGTAGTCAAAATCGTGGATAGAAAGTAGTATGGTGGCTGTCAGGGGCTGGGGGGAAGGGGAATGAGGAGTTATTGTTTAGTGGGTATAAAGTTTCAGTTTTACAAAATGAAAAGAGTTATGGAGATGGCTGGTGATGATGATTATCCAACATTATGAATATGTTTAATACCACTGAAGCATACACTTAAAAATAGTTAAGATGGTAAATTTTATGTTATGTGTATTTTACCACGATAAAAAAATTGGGGGAAAAATGAATTCCAGCCTAATGTGGGAGTTTCAGTTTCAGTTTCCCCACGGTGTGGGGAATCTAGGATTCATCTCCATATTCCAAGTTGGTTTTAGCATTTGCTTGCTTACTGCCCACTATTTCTGTTTCAGCTGACTTTTTCCCTCTGCTTTCTGAGAGCCTAGCAGTTCATTAAAAGGGTAGGATTCATGAACATCTAGTTGATTTGCAGAGGGAGGGTGCTTTAGAGTACAGGGGCCCCCACCCTCTGGAGATAGAACCCTCTTCTTTTCTTTTCTTTTTAAACCTAATTCTTGTCAGAAACTTTCAAGTGGACCCTTCAAACATGACTATCTCCTTTTAAACATGACTGCCACACCATTTTAAAACAGTTTTAGACACTTTCTTTAGGATGAAAGAATGAAAGGCATTGAATAGAACATTATTTCTCATAGAATTGGGACTAGTCAGAGGGAATCCTTGTCTCAAAACTGTGATGTTTGCAGGAAGAAGGATAACGTTGGATGTGAGTGGCATGGCTTCTGAGTCTTTGTTAGTCCCATCTCCTAATCAATTCTTGTTTTCTCCTCTTTTCTGTGTCCAGCACAATTACTTGAAAACCATGATGGGCCTCCAGCAGACACACAGAAAATAGAGACTCCTTGTGAGTGCCTTGAAGGACAAGATCCCCAGCCCTCCTGCCTGCTTTAGTGGAGCTGCTAAACCACCTGCCCAGAGCTCCAACCACTCTGCTCCAAGGCTGGGGCCCAACCCAGAGAATACACAGTGTGTGCCAGGAGGCACATCCTTCAAAGGACACCCTTGCTTATCTTCACAGAATACTTTTGGTTTCAATTTACTATCTTATATGCGGGGACAGGATAAAGTCACTTTCTAGTCTGGACTTTTAGTGCTTACCCAAGAACTTTATTTCCTGTCTGTGAGGATGTCTTTGCTGTGTACAGGTAGGGTCAGAACTGAGTGTCCAGTGAAAAAGTAGCTCAGCCAGGCTCCTCCTGGCAGGGCTTTGTCTCACTAGTCAACCTCTTTCCTTTCCTGGATGGACCTCCTGGGGGTGAGCTGGGTCTGAGGAGGTTCTGGTTCTTACAGCTCCTGCAGACTGTAGGTTCTCTCAGTGCATCCTTTCTGTGTTCCTGAGCCATTGAAGGCAAGAGGCCCTCCTTCCTCAGCAACCCAGAGAGGATCAAGTCTAGGTTTAAATCGCTGAAAGGCAGATTTTTATCCCAAAATAAGAGGAGCCTTAAAATGAGAGCAGTCTTACCATGAAGTTAGCAGCAAGAGCCCCACAGTGGGAGGCAGTCTGGCAAGGAGGGTACAGAACCTGCACTGGAAGGAATGTTGAACTGAGTGACATCTGCCAATCAAAGACCCTGTGATTCTGTTCTTCAGTCCATCAATGAGCAGATGGTTGGAGGTTTTGTTGAAGAGAGAAAGCAGACAAACTTTTCTTAAGGTCTCTGTTCTCTCTCCTGTCTAGCCCCTTTCTCTGTCATGGACTGATACATAATGGTCCTGAAAGAGCTTTCAGAGACTCCTGCTACACCAAGGCTTTCTAGAGCAGCTTTGAAGTCCCCTGACTTCACTCCTCTAGGTGACACACATAGGGACTGTCACTGACCAGCACTAATGGTGTGCACACAGCCCTGTTGGTCAGTCCTCATGTTTCCTTTGATTGTGGCCAAACAGGCAGGTCTGCCCAGGCTCTGCTCCCCTTCCCAGCTATTGGAGGTGTTAGGCAGAGAGTTCTGATTCTTTCCCTTCTTGGCTGTGCCTGCCCTTACTGGGACTTGTTTGGGGTTCCTGGGTCTTTGGGGCATCTCAGGAAATAGGACATAGCAAACAGGGGCTGCATCATCTTGTTGGGGCCAGGGGAAGCAGCCATTTGTGGCATTACCAATCTCTCTTCCCTTCATTCCCTGTCACTGCCTGGAATGTCATGTGGCATACTGGATGTCCTTCCATAGAATTTCTGGACAGCCAGCCCTGAGGCCTGCTGGCTGGGGCAAGCTGGGCCTCTCTCATGGTGGTTGGTCACATTTGTCTTTAGCTCATTCATCACCACATAGGCCTCTTTGGTCAGTTCTGGCACAAGCTGAAACAAGTAATCATGAGGGTGGGCAGAGCCACAGGAATAAGCCAGGATGGTGCTCGGAGATCACTCTCCGTACAAATTCCTCACAGGAGCAGAGGCTTCCAACATGACAGGGAGCTAGGGGGCATCATGTTCACTCAAATGGGCCTGTTGTTCTAGAAAATAGTTCCTGCTGAGCTAATCTGACCATCAAAATCACCGCTGAAGGAACTTCCAATTCCATCAATGTGACAGATAAAATAACCTGAAAACACTTCTGCTACAAACAGAGATGCTGGCTAAGGTATAATATTCTTTTAACTGCAAGGCTAAATTTGCAGGAAAGAAAAGGAACTGCCAGGAGCTGGAGAACTGAAAACCAGAGTGGTCAGCGTGTGAACTGACTGTGGCAGCTAGAGATGGGTAGAAGGTGTGTGAATGGATTGTTGCTCTTGAGCGTTAATGTCCACATAAGTACGAGAAATAAGAGTTTGGTCCATGCCCCATAGCAGGTCCACCAGCTCCTACATTGCAGATGAGGCTCCCAATGTTGACACTGGCCAGGGCCTTTGCAAACAAGCCTGGCTAGAAAGGTTCTACGTTTACACTGGCTGCTTTAATGGGAGCATTGATCTTATCCTCCATGACCGTCACCTCATCATCATGCAGGATGAGGGCCAGGTAGACACAGGCGAACTCCAAGCCGGAGGCCATGGTGTGGGCGAGTGCTGGGCAGGTGCTGCTGGGTGCAGTGCTAGTCGTGGGATGAAGTGAGGGCCTCACCCCAACGCAGCCTTAGCTTCCTCAGAAGGACCGAGCACCTTAGCAGCCAGCTGAAGAAAGCAAGAAAATGTATTTCTGAAGGTTAAAATGACAGACTAGAAACAGCAAGAGAGAATGAACTGGATGTCGGATCTGAAAAAATTGTCTGGGATTGTAGCATAGAGGGATGAAGAGAGAGAATATTGAAAGTGTGGATAAGAGACGTGGTGGACGGAATGAGAAGATCGAGTATACATCTAATCACAGATCCAGAGGAGATAACAGGGATATCACTCTCAGTTGTCTTGTCCAGTCTCATCGCTTTAAACATTATCCATATGCCAACTCTCAATTTTATAGGTCTAGCCTAGACCGCTCTCCTGAACTCCAAACCTGTATAGCCAACTGCTAACCTGGCATCTCCACTTGAACATCTGTTAAGACATCTACAAATCAACGTATTTAAAACTAAATGCCTAGGGCCGGCCCCGTGGCTTGGCGGTTAAGTGCTTGTGCTCCGCTGCTGGCGGCCCGGGTTCGGATCCCGGGCGTGCACCGACGCACTGCTTCTCCGGCCATGCTGAGGCCGTGTCCCACATACAGCAACTAGAAGGATGTGCAGCTGTGACATGCAACTATCTACGGGAGCTTTGGGGGAAAAAATTAAATAAATAAAAATTATAAAAAAAAACAAAAAACAACAAAAATAACTAAATGCCTAATTGCCCCCCAAACATGCTCCACCCACAGCCTCCTTTATCTCAGCCCAATCACTCAGGCTAAAGTCCTTAGTTTTGTACTTCACTCCTCTCTTCCTCTCACAGCACACATCAAATCTGTCAAGAAATTCAGTAGACTTTACCTTCCTACTATGTTAAAAATCTGACCATTTCTCACCACTTCTATTGTCCCTACCCTGATCTAAGCCACTATCATCTCTTGCCTGGGTACAGCTTCCTAACTGTGTCCTTGCTTCCTCCCTTGTTCTCTCATAGTCTGTTTCCAGAACAGCAACCTAGTTGATCCTTTTGAAATACATTAGATCGCATCACACCTCTTCTGAAACTTTTAATGGCTCCTGTTTTTCTCAAAGTGAAACCTAAGTCCGTAAAACAGCTCACAAGGCCCTATATGATCTTGCCTCCTGTGACTTGACTCTCATCTCCTCTTCCCATTGGGCACTCTTCTCTGGCCACATGGGCCTCCTTACTGTTCCTCAAGCATGCCAGGCAGCTCCTGCCTCAGGACCTTTGCACTGGCTGATCCCTCTCCTGAAACATTCTTCCCACAGGTGTCCACATGGCTCACTCCTTCAATTCCTTCAAGTCTTGGCTTAAATGTCATCTTCTGTAGCAGATGCTGTTGTGCCATGATCATAGTTCCTTGCACTTGCCATTCCTGCTAATGGCTTCCTACTGAAAGGACCTGCAACATTCTACATAAAGCCTTTCTCAACCATAGGTACTTATTTGTTGTAGAATGGGCCCAAATGCCAGGGCATTAACACCTTTAGGAGTGGCCCTTAGCCAATGAGTCGGTGGATGAGTACCCTAACCTCCTCTCCCTTCAAGGGACAACTCTGAGGCATGTTCTCCACTGTTTCCTGTGACTTCACAATATAAATACAAATCCGCATATACATAAATAAAACCAAAGGAAAAAAATAGTTGTTATATTAAGTTGGATTTTCAATGAAATAGTATTATAAAATATTTAAAGTTGCTTTAATAATGTTATATAATTTTTAATAATATATATATATATATAAGTAGAATGAAAAAGATAAGGTTGAACCAATATAGCACCCAAGGTTTCTTTCTAAAGTTCTGAGATTCAAGGTAGCACAAAGAGCTCTGGATAATCCTGCCTGTCTTTCCATGATCTTTAATCTGAAGGGGTCAGACACCTCTGTTGCTGCTTCCTCTGGCATTGCATGCAGGTTCCAATCCACCTGCCCTACCACCAGCTGGGTCTAGGGAGTCTCACTCTGAACTTGACTGTTGATCAGTGGGTTGCACTTTCTCAGGCAGTACGACATAGGGACAGAGCACAGGTGTTGGGCTGAGACATCTGAGTTTAAATCAGGACTCCATATCTTACTGGCATAGGACCTCGGGCAAGTTGTCCAATGTCCCTGCCTTCCTTTCCTCATATGTAAAACAATAATTAATAATCCTGGGGCTCTGTGAAATGAAGGAATCGATGTATGTATAGTGCACAGCAAGGCCTCAACCAACTGAAACTTCTATGACAGTATCAATAACTATAATAATAATAAAGATAGGAATGTGCCCAGCATTACGTCTGATAGATGGTGAGCAAACACACACCAACCTATGTTAGGCTCCCTTTCCACTCTCCAAAATGGATTTTGCATTTGAAAAGGCAGCATTCAGACTGGCATTATCTTTCTCCAATTAATTCTTACTGGGATGGCTTTTAAAGACCAATCCAAAAGTTGACAGTAGACTAACTGCTAAAAATATACCCAGTGCCATCCTGGGCAGTGTTACTGCAGGTCAAGCGTCTTGGGTCAGGGAAGTAGTAGTCCCACTGCACACCACATCTGCCAGGCCACACTTGGGAATTCATGTCAGGGGCTAGAAGCAGTGTTTTAAGTGGACAGACTCCTCAGGGGAGGGTGACTGGCATCATGAGAGGCTCTGAAAACTCCGTCAGGCAAGGAATAATCACAGAAACTAGTGACATTCAATCTGAGAAGTGGAGTCCAAAGGAAGCAGATTTTCTGTCATTTCAGGAGGAAAAAATAGGATGAGAGTTTTCCCACCCTGGGATGGATGGTCTTGGTGCAAACTGGGCTCCCAGTCCCTGGAGGATGCAATCAGTGTCTGGGAAGCCCCAGTCAAGGTCCATGTGAGAGAAATCCTCAAACCAGGAAGAAAGGTCTTGAAGGCCACTAGGTTCCTTCTAAATCTAAATTCTGTGATTCTATAAAAGCAATTGTGGAAAAATATTTAACATATCAGTTGAAAATTACATCATACACATAGCTATTCACACATATATATGAATAAAAAAGACTAAAATGTCAAAAGCGGTTGTTTCTAGGTGAGACTAGAGTTTTTCCCCTTTAAATTTTTTCTTTATTTTCTCTATTAAATATGAATTGCTTTTATTAACAAA